GAACTTCTCCGAATGTCGCAGGGAGTGTTCCGCCGGAACTGACGCGCTCGCCAGGTCGAGGCCATTTGCCCCCGCGAAAAATCGGCACCGTCGATGCAGTCCATCGAACGGTTGGCGAGGCATCTCGCCTTCGATGGGGACCCCAGGTGCAACTGCGAGAGGTGAGACAAAACTTAAATGAAAGTGCATTGTACTTACAGGAATTGAAGTTTCGACTCCATCCTCCGCGTGCTCCTGGGGGCCCAGCGGTTAAGCGTTGAGCTGAAACCTTGGCTCTGATACCAAGTGTCACAGGATCGAATGTCCCGAGGAAAGGTTTGCTCAATGTTGCACTATCAATCAGTACAAGGTGCTTTTATACTTCCAGAGTACATAAGGTAACCAGGTTTATCCTATCCGAAGGGAATAGACCCTTCTAGAAATAGAATCACCATGCGTATAGCCACGCGAGGCTATTGGCTTTAAGGAATCACGGCAGGATTACGCTAGATATAGCGCGCCAATACATCCCAAGCCTGGTCGGTGATATAATTATAATAACATGATAAACCAAAGGATAATGGAAAATGAGGAATAGGAAACCAAATGAGATGAGATAAAGACCAAATGAATGAGGAGTGAAAGAGGAATGAAATAGAAAGGAAATATGGAAAGGGGAAATTGGTGTAACGGGGTCGTACTCTCACACTACCAGACCTGAGGAGGGGTCAGCAAGCGTGACAACAGCAGTGGCGGCAAGCGGCATTAGCGCAATGTGGTCGCGCAAGAAGCAGGCAGACGCGCCAGAGTCAAGCGTGAAAGAGAGCGAAGCGGTAGCGGCAGCCGACGGAGGGGCTAGCATGGAGTAGTGCGCAACCACGGCCTCTAATAATTCCTTGGCGTTTGTTATAGCGTTAAAGCGGGGAAGCTCAAACAGGGGGAGGGCGTGACTAATGGCAAGCTGCGCTACGGCGTCGCTCGACTCCCAGATAGCACAAGGAAGTGCAGTAGCAGAAAAGGCCTCATGCTCAACAGTGGTGGGGGCATCAGGGAGGGCAGCAGGCGTGGGGGAGCGGGGAAGCAAGCCATCGACATGAACAGCCAAGGAGTAACCGTCTTGGTGCTGACCTGTCAATGACGGCGAAGGTCGACAAGCCATGCATCGAAGTCGATCGCCCGTCCCTCTGCGTTCAGGCGGAGCACAGCGTCTGCCATCTCACGACCTCAACAACACGCCAGCACAGCGGCATGGTGACACGGCTATACAGCGGCACGGCTATACGGCGACAGGGCACCACGGTGGCACAGCGGCACGGCGCCTCGACGTCACAACGACACGGCTACACGGCGGGTCGGCTGCACAGCGGCACGGTGACACAGCGCTACGGCGGCACGACGACACAGCGGCACGGCTGCCCGGCTACACGACTACATGGCGGCACGGCGACACGTCACCACGGCGGCACAGTGGCACGATGGCACAGCAACACAGTGGCACGGCGGAGCCGCGGGATGCTGGGGCCAGCAAGAACGGGAGCCGGCTTGAACAGGGGCCGATGCGGTAGGGACGGCGAGCGAGCGGGTGACCTAGGGCCTACGAGCGAGAGTCGGCGAGGTGGGGTCGGCGAGCTAGGGACGGCGGGCTAGGGCTAGTGTGGCGCACGAACGTAGCGAGGCGCGAACGAGGCAAGCGGGGCGTAAGGGGCCAGCGTGGCGTAAGGGGCCAGCTGGGCGCACAGGGCTAGCGGGGCTCGACGGGGCCAGCGCGGCGCGAATGGGGCCAGCGGGGCGTACGGGGCCAGCGGGGCGTACGGGGCCAGCGGGGCGTATGGGGCCAGCGGGGCGCATGGGGCTAGCGGGGCTCGACGGCGCTAGCGGGATGCGAATGAGGCCAGCACGGCGTACGGGGCCAGCTGAGCGCACGGGGCTAGCGGGGCGCGAACGGGGCCAGCGGGGCGCACTAGGCTAGCGAGGCTCGACGGGGCCAGCGGGGCGCTAAGGGGACAGCGGTGCGCTAAGGGGCCAGCGAGGCGCTAGGGGCTAGGGCGGAAGCGCTTGGGCAGACCTAACCTAATCTAACAGGTCAGCGCCAAGACGGTTACTCCCTGGCTGTTCATGTCGATGGCTTGCATCTTAGCATAGAACAAGTGACTAGAATGAAGTGGACCTTACACTCGCCCACCTTCTAAAAGAAGGCCCTTCCTTTATCGAGGCCGAACAGTCATTAAAATTTATCCCTGATGTGACCGTAAGTCTTCAGCCCTGTGACGAGCGTAATGATTACGCCGGCCTGACGAGGTCTTCAAGTCGAACTGCGATCGATGGTCAGAAAAGGCATCGAAACGATCGGTTTTAATCTCGGCCGTCGAAGATGGTCGAATTCTTCAGCCGACCAAACGGGCAAATGTAAATACTCCAGGGGAAGACAATGAACAGTGAAACTTGTCGAGTGGTCGATTGACGATGGCGCGTGGCAGGTGAATATCTTGAAATGATGACTGGCGAATAGCGTGATGGTCGATGAAATGAATAACCCGTTCATCAAACGCGAGGTCGTTCGAGTTAGATGCGAGAGCACGCGTCCGTGTCCCAAAAAAATCAGCGAACTCCATCAACGAAATGATGAAATTAGGCGCGGAAGCGTAACGGTGACGAATGGCGGTCGAATATGGATAATGGAACACGCCGGAAGGGTCAGACAAAAAATTGCAGCACAGCTGCCCTTCTCCGCCCTCCAAGAGAAAAGAGCTCCCAATTTTCCAGGCAGAACTCCAGGAGACCCAATGCTCCAGGGTAGTCGAAATGATCCCACACTGCTGCCAAAAATTCTCATACTCAGCGTCCAAGATGCCGCTGCAAAACTCCAACTGCGAGAAATCCCACACGATTTCTTAAAGTCCCAGAAATCTGCTGCGAAGACGCGACTGAAAATACACCAACATGTAGATCTCCCAAACTGCTTCAGAGTGGAAAACTCCTCCAAGGTAAACCGCTACAAGGGTCTTGAAACTCAGAAGTAACTGCTCCGGAAGACTCCCAGACGAACTTAAAATTCTGCACGAGTAGGAGCACTGCTTGCGATCTGGCCCCAACACAACTCCAACTGTATTACGACAAAATATTTTCGCTTCAATATTGCTGATGTAGATTCGGATGGCGAGGCGGAGTCGTGTTCACACAGTTGGGCGAATCACGCGAATTGACGATGGAGGCGGTAGCGGGTGATGGCGAGAAGAAGACGACAATAGCGATGACGTGTAAGATGTACTGAATCACTCTAGTTGAAAAACTCGAACCGAACCCGGGGTCTGATGCCGCCAGATGCATCAGCTACTTTGTCCGCACACGCCGAAAAAATTGGGAAGTACCGAAATAGCTATTGCTCTCCCTCCTCTCCATACAACCAAAACACTCCGCAAATGTCGGTCGATGTCGCTCGTACTCTTGAAGATAGCGGGCCCAACTCCAGATGTAAACTCTTGAACTGGACCTCAAACCCACCGAAAATGTCGGAACCACTCGGTACTTAGCAAATACCGTAACTCCGCTTTACAGCTACCCCTAAAAATGCCCAGGCGTTACGGCGTCCTTTAGCAACGCCCCCACGGTTTCTCCACCAGTTGTACGCATGAACTGAACCCTTTATATTAGGGTTTACCGGATTCCACTGCCTCGGCATGATGTTTTGTTACTGACCGCTGGACAACACCCTCCTCCATCGGAAACTCGTCAAACTATACCCGCAAAAGTCGGAACCTCTTTCTGCTGCACCAGGTAAAAACCTTTAGCTTCACAGCAACAGTAACTCCGAAATTTTCTGGGACACTCTATCAGCACACCCAAGGGTGGTGGCCTCTGTTTCCGTTGATCGTGGGGGTATGAATCGCTAGTTCACAAAAAACGCCTCCCCACGCGGGAAGTCGCCCTCGCTGAGTACACTCACTCCAGCACAGGGTCATCACCTCCAGATGGCCGTCGCGGTGAATAGCACCGAGGTCGTTAATCCCAGTTGCTCCCACACAACCGCACACCCACACGTCTTCGTGCGATCGTGTCGTTCCAAAATTGTCGCATCCGCCCATTGGCGAAACAGTTTTGAAGTCCCGTCCATCGCCTGCAACTAGCTTGCCGGAAACGCTGGGACCCGCGACATAGCTACAGTTCACCCTGCCGCTCCATGGCGTTCCATACATACATCGCCGTACGTCCCGCCATTTTCGCCACCTCGCGCGCTCCTAACGACCAACTCCCGGCCGCCTCAGGACTCCCGTGCACTTGTCTCCTCATAACGAAGCCTTCGTCTTTTTCGGAATCCAATCCGAAGACTCCGTCCGAACACTCGAAAATTACGAAAGCTCTAACGAACATACCAAAAAAACACGGCGAAAACGTCGCCCACTCTTCGACGGGAAATAATTCTGTCTACGCTCGGGGAAGGGGAGGACCGACTAATCCCAGCCGTCCATCGGACAGGATCTGACGGCATCGGCAATGCTCGCGCAATTAATCTCCGCGATGTCCGCTCGCCATCAGCATCCTTACGCTCCCTTCCCCGATAGGGTCTGCTCCCCTACCGGAAGCCTAATAGGCAGGAACGTAGCTCTGATACCAGCTGTTATGAATTATAACTTAGAGTATAGCGCAGAATACTGTAGGGGAACGCGATTACAGAATGCCGATAGAAGTGAGGCCTAGGCAATATATAGGGCGAGTTGACCAAGGTTGAATGTCGAGGGTTGGACCAGTCAAGGGCTCGACAGTCTCGAGGGTGACGGGGTCAAAATGGGTTCGGGGCGACTCGGGATCATGTTGGGGCCGAAAAGGTCGACAGGGGCTGGTTTGGCGCGTGACTTGAGGGCCGAGCCTGTGGAACCGAGAGGTTCGCGTGTATTCGCTGTGGCGACCCCCAGTAAGGAATCGTAATTCCTTAAACAAACACTGTTGGGAAACACACATTTTTAGAAAGTGTTACACACTTAAAAAAATCTATATATATATACATATATATATATATCTTTGTGTCCCTTTGCTATAATCAATCACTTGTTCTCACATACTGTACCAACACAAGGGTTCATCAAGACTTCCACTGTGCTATCAAGCACTTTGTTACACCATATGCAAAGCACGGCATGGCATGGCATTGGCATGAAGGCATACCAACTTTACCTTTACCTCTTCCTCCGGCCTGTAGTATATTATCTTCTAGAAAAATGTTTGCAATTGTTTGACACACGGCCAAGCCGAACCGAACACACCCAAATTATAATTAACACGCCCTAGATCATTGTGCTCCGGGTGTAGTCGTCACCCCAGGTGGTGTCACTGGTGGGGTAACATCCAACACCCTTCCCCCATGCGCACTCCCCCCTCCCCCCACCTCCCGCCTCATCCTCAACCCACTCCACAGGACCTTCCCCCCCCCACTCCCAGCAGCCACCTCTTTCCCCCCTCCCGCTCCGCCCCCAACACCCCCCCACCACAAGCACTACCAGCACTCCCAGCAGCAACATCAGCAGCACCAGCGCCCGCAGCATCGGCAGCATCAACACCCGCACCAGCGGAACCAGAGGCTGCAGCGGCTGCAGCAGCGCTCGCCTCGTCCCCTTCGCCCTGCCTCTCACTCAGCGAGCTGCTCCGGATCATCCTCCACGCACTCCTCAGCATAGGAGACATCGGGCTGGTCCCCCTCACCCTCCCCACTTCCCCCCTACCCCCCCTTGTCGACCAGCGCACATGCACCCCTCCCCTCACCCCCCCAAACCTCCCCTCCCGCCACCTCCCTTCCCCCACTCGCTCGTGTCCTGGTAACCCGGTTACCACCAGTAGAGGAGGACCCTCCTGCTCCCATTCCGCCAGCCCCCCCCCTCCCCCCACATGCAGCGTCTGAGACATCTAGGTCCCCCTGATCGTCCATCGACACGTGTCGGACATGCATGCTCTTGGGCTTGCATTGGCCATCGTTCCCCTTCCTGTACCCCTCTTGCCCGCTCGCCTGCGCGTCACTGTAGCCGGCGTTACTGTAACCAGCATCACTGTAGCCATGTCCGTTATAAGCAGCGTTACTGTAGTGCGCATTGCCCATGGGAGTTGAGGACAGGAAAGAGGGGGGGTAGGGCGAGTAGACAGGAGCGGAAAGCGGCAGCAGAGGGGTCGGGTTACCCATTACCCTGTTACCACGACCATCCATCGCTACCCCATACCCATCGACCTCCCCCTCATCCTCATAATACCCTTGCGGTCCAATGTACGCCAGTGCTTGCTGTGACGCCGGTGCAAATGGCATTGCCACTCCTCCTGCTGCCACTCCTGCTCCCACTGCCCCTGCTGCCACTGCCACCCCACCAATGCCACCGCCTCCCCCCCGCCAACCTGCTGGCCCAGCCTGTGTGGCTCCCGCCACAGAAGCAAACGGCCGGCCATCCCCACCGGCGGACGCCCATGCGGCGCTCTCACTCACCCACGCCTCATAGTCAGACGCAGCGGTTGCGCGGGCAGCAGGCAGAGCGGTGGAGGGATGATGAGGGGGCGTTGGTGGGAGCATGGCAGCCTGAGTGCTCACAGACACAGGAGGAGCACAGAACCGGCCATCCCCTCTGGCGGTGGTCGCCCACGCGCCGCTGTCACCCACCCATGCTTCGTAGTCAGAGCCCGCCGTTGCGCGGTGCACAGGCAGAGGGGCGGAGGGAGGAGGAAGGGGCGGCATTGACGGGAGCATGGCAGCGGTGGAGGGAGGCGCAATGCGGTTTGAAGGAGCAATGCCAGTGGCAGCGGCAGGGGAAACCGAAGGAAGAGTGGCAGAGGCCGGGGGAGCAGGGGGGACGAGGCGGGGGTCTGGTAACTGGGAGAAGGGGGGGTGGGGATGGAGAATGGCGCTGGGGAAGGGGAGGGGGAGGGGGACGGGGAAGGGGAAGGGGAAGGGGATGGGGGAGGAGGTGGCGGAAGGAGGAGCAAGGGGAGGCTTGGAGAGAGGGGAGGGGGAGGGGAGGGGGAGGCGGAGGGGGATGGCTTGGGGGGGAGAGAAGGGTGGAGGGGGAAAGAGGGTGGAGGGGGAGAGAAGGGTTGAGAGGGGACGGCAAGGAGTGGTTGGTGGTAGGGGGGGGAGGCGAGGGAGAGTAAGCGAGCGGATTGGAAGGAAAGGGCATGGAGAAGGCTGAGTGGTTGAGGCTCGGCTCGTAGCTGCTGCTGCTGCGGCTACTGCTGGTGGTGCCGTTGCTGTTGGTGCTAAGGCTGCTGCGGTTGCTGATAATACTGATGGTGCTGACAGTGCTGACAGTGCTGGTAGCGCTGCTGGTGCTGCCTGTGCTGATTCTCCCACTGCTTCCGTTACTGATTCTGCCAGTACTGAGAGCACCACCACCAGCAGCAGTACCATCAACACCACTACTGCTGCCAGTATCATCAGCAGCAGCAACAGCATCACCACAACCACTGCACGTTATTCCCCCCTGGGATCCCTGCAGTCTGCTCTTCTGCTGCGGCATGGGGAACGCCGCAGAGTGAGCTAACCGGGCCGGAAACGGGCGCGATTTGCTCACATCACCAAACCCTAAAACCCGTTTCGGCCCGCTGCCCCCTCCCGGCTGAGGAGTAGAGCCGCCCGGATACCCCTAAGGGCATGTCGCCATACCCGTCGTCCTCGTCCCACACGTCCATCCCTGCTATGGTGCGCGGGCGTGGTAGTACCCCCCTGCGAACACGCCCCCTGCCACCAGTTCTTGCAGCAGCGCCTGTAGCAGCGCCTGTAGCAGCAGCGCTGGCGCCGGTGATAGCGTCAGCAGCAGCAGCAGCCGCACCACCACCAACACCACCAGCAGCGGCAGCAACGTCGGCAGAAGCAAAATCAGCAGCAACACCGCCACCAGCAGCAGCAGCAGCAGCGCGAGGCGGAGGTCAGCAACGGCCAGGTCCATTTCCAGGGACGACGTGGACCGCGAGTTCCTGCGCGCGGGTGCCGCGACACCACGCGCCGCTCCCCTATCTCCCCCTCCTCCACCCCCCTCAGCGCGTCCGACAGCTCGCTCAGCAGGCTCTCCCGCGCGCTCATCCGCCTTCCGCCCGCTCCGCCAAGCCCCCCTAACCCCCTCCCCCACCCCACCCCCAACGCTCCTGCTGCTGCCGCTGCTATCACCCCCTTCCCCCGCTCCCCCTCCCACTCTTCCTCCCCCACCCCCTCCGCATCCTCCCTCCCCTCCCGCTCCCCCCACTCTCCCCCGATCCGCCGCCCCCCCTGGTCCCCCCCCTGGCTAAGACTCACAAGGTAGGCTCTAGGCGCGTCGGGTAGCACTCCAGCCGCTCCTTGGGCGTGAGTCTGCCGCGCACGCTCCATACAATCACCTCCAGGCGCGGCTCCAGCGCCTCGTGTACAATCACGTGCGAGTGGCGCGCGGATCTCGAGCGCAGGAAGACAGGCGCGCGGCTGGGAGAGCGGCCGTTGGAGAGACAGTCAGGCGCGGGGGAGATCCCCCCCGTTCCGCTTCTGTAACTCCAGTGGTAGTGGTGGCACTGGCACTTGAGTCGCCTCTTCCCCGCTCGGCGGCATCGACTCGTGATGAGCAGGCTGCGCTTGAGTGGATCGTTGAGAATTCTCAAAAACTTCCCCGCTCGGCGGCATTGACTCATGCACCCTTTCCTCCTCTTCAACCCTTGCCTCCTGTTCCGCCCTTTCCTCCGCTTCAACGTGGGTCGTCTGGGGATCTTCGCCTTCGCACGTTCCCCGTTGCTGTAGCACGTGCCACTACACCACTCCAACCGCTCTCGCCACTACCGCTAGCACCCACGCTACCGTCCCTCGCCGCATTCACCACTTCCCTGCCGCTGCTGCTGCTGCCGCCGCCCCGGCTGCTGTGACTCAGCCGATGGCTGTTCCTGGCGCCGCTGACGTGGCACGAGCTGCTGCTGCCGCCACGGTAAGAGCTGCTGACGTGGCCCGCGCCGCTGGCCAATCGCCTGGCGATGGGCGGGAGAGACGCGGGATCGGCGGTGGCGGGACGCGGAGGGGTGTCCGGGGGAGGGGACGCGGGAGCGGTGGGGAAGGGGGAGACGGGCGGAGACAGGGGACAGCGCGCGGGGCGCGGAAGGCGGAAGGGCGAAGGAGGAGCAGAGGGGGGGAGGCGGAGCGGAGAGTAAAGAGGGGGGAGGAGGGGGAGGGGAAACAGAGAGC